AGCGGAACGGCAGGGCCCGTCCTCCCGTTTGAGAGCAGAACCAAGTGAAGGGTTGGGTAAGATACCTTGCCCAACGAAGGGGTGAGTACTGAGAGTGCCAGTTTTGGTTTTCAAGGGACCAGGCCAGGCTCAGGGCAAGGATCCTCGATGGTGCCGAGAGCCAGGAATGCCCCCTGCCGGCGGACCAGATCTACAAAGCGTTTCGTGAGAGATGGGAAGTCGGAGGGCAGTTCCACGGGCTTGGGGAGTTCTGAACGGACTTAGTCTCTGACAACTGGGAGTTCTACAAACCCATCCTGGCTGCAGAGGTGATGGAAAACCTAACCAAAATGGAAAACGGCACAGCCCCAGGCCCAGACAGGATCAGCAAAAAAGGTTTGCTGAACTGGGATCCTTGGGGTGAGCAACTGGCGTGGCTATTCACAACGTGGTTGGTCAGTGGAATCATTCCCCGAGCCTTCAAGGAAGGCAGAACGACATTGCTACCAAAGTTCATCGATCCCCCATGTTTGCGGTGCCATGAAATTGTCTGGGTTCAGTGGGGCTCATGATGGTTATAATCAGCACTGGGATGACACGTGACGGCTATGTTCAAGCCGGAAAGCAGGTCGCGGACAAGCTCGCCTCAGTAGTCCTTTCAGGTATCCTCTCAGTCTGGTCTGCAGAAAGTGGGTTGGTAGGCTGCCAGCAACATAAAAGACAAAGAAAGAGAAGTTTGCTGGAACATTTGTGTTCCTGCCTTGTTCACTCTCACAGCATGTAAAAAAAAGTGTGAGGTATTACTTAAATCATTTCTGTCTGACCAAGCCTCATTCTGGCCTTGTTACATATAGCACTTAAGTTCTGCAAATGACAGACTAAAATTATAAACAATGGATTGTCCTATTAAAAAATATACATCCAGAGACCCCAAAGACCAGTAGAAGGCTTGATTGGATTGTTTTATATAAATCCAACAAAAGCCAATCAACAGTGCAACGCTGTTCTTCAGTTTTTTACATATCCTGAATTATAAAAAGGACTCATGGTCAGATTTGGCAGTGACATAAAGCATGTTTGTACTTTGGAGTCAACAGTTCTTTTCACTAAGCAAACTGTAGATGCTCCAACAAACGGTTAATTTTGTCTTACTGTCCACCCTTGTTCTGGTTTTACAACCTCAGCCTGCTTATGTTTTTTGGGACAGAAGTGGTTTCTTTGTGACAATGATCACAAGATCATTGTCCAAAAGTGAAATGAAAACTGGATGAAAAAGAAAAAAAAACAGCCAGAAAAGCAGAGGGCAATTTCTGCAGAGCCAAAGAGATTCTAATGATGAAGGATTTGTAACAAGTGTGTGAAAGACTAAACTGAAATGTAATTTAAGTGTTGCAAACAAATTTGATTTAAATCTAGGTGCTATATTCATTGTAGTACACTACAAGCATGATAATTTTTCAAAGCAGCTCTCAGGACTCAAACCAACAAAGCAGTCATTGTATATTGATTTACAGTAAGTATAAAGCATTCACTAAGGCAAGAGTGCCAAGACCAGTTTTAAACAAACTCTGACATCACATGTCGCATATTCAAATTAAAAAGCCGCTTGCTCTGTGCAATCAGTGGAGAGAAAAAGTAATGTGTAAATGTTACAGGAAAGACAGGCATCATACTTTTCTGTTTCTTCTTCACACACAGTTTTTCTCTTCATGGTGCAAAATTTAAATATCAAGTGTAGAAACATGAGGAAAAAGCTTTATTTCAGTGTGTTTTTTGAATGTGGCCATTTTGGTCTTAGTGTGGATTATTTGCGCAGCTCAGACAGAAAAACTGCTTTTAATAACTGGCTCTAGAGGGAAAATTCAGATATTTAAGCTTGACTGACAGCCTCTCCAACCCCGGAGATAAAGCCAATTAAATAACATGGGTAGAAGAGAGAAAAATAAATAATCTAAAGCTGGATAAATAAATGCTAAATTATTTGAGTGACCTTAGAGGGTCATTATTTCACTGCACATGCATATTGGAGATTAAAAAACACCTATAAATATTTATGCGGAGCAATTTCCAGAGAGCAAATAAGCAGTGCATTATCTCTGTGTGGGTTTAAAGTGGAGTCATCCTGATGCCCCTTCCTCTGGCAGTGCAGACTGAGAAAAAAAAACACATTTAAAGTTAAATTAATGGAGTGGACATTACACATTATTAAATAAAAAAAAAATTATGCACATAAACTGCAGAGTATTGCAGAAGTACTTTAAAAGTACAGTTTCAGAGACTAACCAGGACACAATGCACCATTTTTAGTTCACTAATCTGTTCTGTTTCGTTTTACAAAGCATGAAAAGTGATCTGATTTGTATACATATCCAATTTAAATAGAGAAGAGATTAGAAGCACATCAATCTTGGCCCAGCCCCAGGGAATAGGGGAAAAGGTTACTAAATTTATCACTGTGGCTTCTGTTGCAGGAGATTCAAAAATGGGGATGGGAGTTAGAGTCTGACTGTCCTTTGAGAAAGAATAAAGCTCCACCTCTGTGTACTCTTCCAGCACAGAGACCATTAATTACACACACTCTCTTCATGCCCACACTGCATGTAATATACGTCTGAAACTATGAGTAAAGGCTCACACACAGTGATTATAAGCTGTTCATCAAAACATCCAGCGTTCCCAAACTGCAGTAGGTTAGTCCTTAATACTAGAAACAAGTGGGACGAGGATAAAAACAGATGCATTCTTTTATGGACAAATAGTTTGTTTTTGAGATATATTCACATATTTTTCTGTGTTGCTACATATGTCTATGATTAACCAACTGACAAAATAAAAATAATAAGGACCTGGAAACCAGAATAGGTAGAGCTAAAAGTTTAAGTGTGTGAAGATTCTGAGCTGAATTTTGCTAGCCATGCCAAATGCTGCCCTCTGTCAGTCTACCCCAGCACAGCTATTGCTACTATCCAGTAGCTTGCCACCATCGGTGTGTGAGTATGTGAATATGTGCATGACTGCATGGAATGTGAAACACTTTGGGGTCCTCTGGACTTGATAAAGCACTATACAAATACAGACAATTTACCATTTATTATACACAATATGAGACATTTCCACATTAGAAAACCAGCAGTGGATGAACATGTCATCAAAATACATCTGACCTTCTGAAGAATCGAGTAAGAAAAAAAGAAAGAAAGAAAAGGGACTCTAGACACTTTCAGATACCTGTGACAAAAAGCACTAAACATGTCGATCCCCCAAAATCATGGTGATAAAGCATGGATCGTTGCTATTATAATTATATGTACACACTGCTAGTTCTGATTGTCTCTCTTTTCACTACACTTAGAAAAAGGGACCATGGCGCGGCCTGTGGTGTGTGTGAGATTTCCTCTTTATTCCTTTGTGTCATGGTACTCACACAGGCGACTCTGAAGTTTGTTCTAAATGGAGAAACTTAACAAATAAATAATAAAAAATAAAGGCCCATCATAATGTTACCTTATTAACTCAGAGTCTGCTAACAGAACCATGCACACTGACTTGGACAAGACACTTCACTCACCTTGCCTGCTGGTGGTGATCATTGCATCAGACTGCCTCAATGCAGCTGTGGCTCACCATCAGTGTGTGAATGTGTGTATAAATGTAGTGTGAAGCACTTTGGGGTACAAGTACAGGTGCTGGTTATAAAATTAGAATACCATGAAAAAGTTGATTTATTTTTTTTTTATTTTCAGCAATTCCAGTCAAAAAGAGAAACTTTTATTCATTTGTTACATACAGACTGATATATTTCAATTGTTTATTTTAATGTTGATGATTATAACTCACAACTGATGCAATCCTCAAATTCAGTATCTCAGAAAATTACAATATTACTTCAGGCCAATACTAAAAAGGACTTTTAGAAATATTGGCCAACTGAAAAGTATGAACATGAAAAGTATGAGCATGTTCAGCACTTAGTGCTTAGTTGGGGTTCCTTTTCCCCAGATTACTGCAGCAATGCGGCGTGGCATGGAGTCCATCAGTCTGTGGCACTGCTCAGGTGTTACTAGAGCCTAGGTTGCTCTGTTCAGATTCTTCTGAATCCTTCAGAATCCTTCTGTTCTTCTGAATTGTTGGGTCTGGCAAATCAAATGTTCCTCTTCCATAGATTTTCTACGGGGTTTCCATGGGGTTATCATGGTCCTTAAAAAGGTGCTGGCAGCTTTGGTAAAGTGTGCAGCTGCCAAGTCCTGTTGGAAAATTAAATCTGCATCTCCAGACAATTGGTGAGCAGCAGGAAACATGAAGTGCTCTAAAAACTTCCAAGGCTGTGTTGACCTTGGACCTCAAAAAACAGTGGATCAACATCAGCAGATGACATGGCACCCAAACCATCACTGACTGTGGAAACTTTGAACCTCAAGCAATGTGGATTCTGTGCCACTCCTCTCTTCCTCCAGATTCTGTGATCTTAATTTCCAAAGGAAGTACAAGATTTACTTTAATCAGAGACTAGACTGAGAGACAATTTAAAAGCCTTTGTAGGTGTTTTAAGTTAATTAGCTGATTAGTGTGTGGCACCAGGGGTCTTCAATATTTAACTTTTTCATAATATTAAAATTTTCTGATATGTTGAATTTGGAGTTTTCATTAGTTGTCAGTGATAATCATCAAATAAACGTTTGAAATATATCATTCAGTTTGGAATGAATGCATGTAATATACACATTTCACTTTTTGAATGGAATTACTGATTTTAATCAATTTTTTCATAATATTCTGATTTTAAGACCAGCACCTGTACTTTACTTTTTACGGTTACTTTTTAAGAGGCTTTTCAAGCATTAGTTTATTGGACATCAAGGAGGGAAAAAAATAAATGCTGTCGCAACTTACCTGGAAAAGACTCAAATCTCATAAAATGTGTTTTTTTTTGTTTTACCTGTTTCTCACACTGGCCATAGTCTGAGCCCTGGTCTGGCTGAAAGAAACAGATTTCTCCTCGGTTTTTTGCGATCTCTATCAACCCAAAAGCTGTCCTCACTGTGGCATTTCGAGCATGAACGAAAACCATGACCTGTTCAACAAACATACAGAATAAAAATTAAAGCAATGCAAAAAGGAACAACTGATTCACAATTTAAAGTTTGAAAACATATCTGGCCCCAACAGAGTTCTTTCATACTCACATACAGGTGAACTTTGTTTATTTTGTGTCCAATATTCATTTGGCAACTTCTACAAATGGTTGCACTTGATTTTATTAGTAAGGAGGGCCTAATAAAAATGCATGCCTGACTTTTCAGATTTTTATTTTTCAAAACTTTAAAAATCATGCATAATTTTCCTTCTAATTCACAGTTTAGTACAAAATACTTGGTCACAAAAATGCTATGGAAATACAATTAATCTGTAATGGGACAAAAGTGGGGAAGGGATGTAAATGCTTTTAAAAGACACTACATAAAACAAAAATTGTTTTGCTTTGGTGTTCAATGAAAACAAATATTCTAATGTTTAAATATACTTTAGCTTCAATGCAGACATTGTGAACTGTACCCCTAGAATTTGGAATTTTGTCCCTTTTTGAAATTTGATTTGTTTTTATCTTCAGTCCATCTCCCACCAGACAAACAACCCTAGAACCTCACAGCTTAGCCTTTACTAAGTATGTGAAGTGATATCAGAATGGGAAAGAAGAAAAAGGAAGCAAAAGTCTTCTGACAACTTGCATTTTTCATGACAGTAAATGAAAAAATGTTTTACAATTTTTTTTACTTTTGAGGAGCTTTTGTGTTTGTTTATCCAATGAAGATCTAGAAGAGCAAAGGAGAGTAGCTGACTGCAGAGACATGCAGCAGGAGCAGTGAGCTATGTGCTTGTTCCAACACACACAGTCCTGAGGGAACACTGTAGCAAATGTTATTTATTGGAGGTGTTTTATCAGCACCACTGAGCTGTGTGGAAACGTAAGTGCCAGATTCTCAGCTTATTAAACTTTGTTCTGGCAGCATGCTTCCCAGAGGATGCTGGGAAATCATAAAGGAAATTTCATCCATCATATGCACCATGATGAAATTAATATACGTCAGCGCCACTTCTTGACAATTTAATATTGAGTGAAGAAGGGGTCTTCCCAGTTGTGCAGTGGACTCAGCAGCTAAAACATGGAAGGTGGACTGAAGCAGTGTATTTAAACATGCTAATAAAAGAAAAAGCTTCCTGGTGGTGGATGATCAAGATGCTTCATCATAAGGGTCTGTCTAAGAGAAGGGAAAGTGTGAGTGTGCGAGAGAGTGTACTTGTGATAAAATCAGCAGGATAAAAACAGTGCTTGTTAGGGAGTTCAACTCCAGCAGCGGATGGAAATTAAATGGCAAAGTCTCAATTTGCAATTCTCATGTTCCCAACAGGCCTTCTGAGGCTGCAGAGTGGAGGCAGAATGAGAGGAAGGTGGTGCATGGGTTCGAGTGGGGAAACGAAGATGAGGAGGCCTACAATGGGGCAAATAAGGCCTTGAGAAATTTTCAGATAGGTTATAAGAAAAACAAGGTTTGTGGTAGAGAATTTACAACGCAGCCTCTACGACTGCTATCAGTCCAGAAACATCTGCTTTGTGATGCACCCATTGCAGTTTCTGGCTGATTGTAAATCTCCACCAATCTTTAAAAAGCCTTATCTGTTGATTACTATTTTGGTCGATAATGATTTTTTTTTTTTTGTCTGAAATGCCACTAAATACAGCAAGAAAGTTGTTTATTTGGCTGCAGTAGGCCACTATTGTTAACTGCAAAAGTGCCAACATGACCTGGTGGGCGGGTCTATCAGTCAAACCTCTTTGATGGCAGAGCAACAGAGAACTGTTGAGATACAACCAATCCTCCAAAATTATCAGTGCACCTCTAATTACACCCACAAAATACAATAGATCGTATTAGGATGTTATTCCATGAATCAACATAAAGCAATGCATAAGTATTAAGATGAAAAAAACTACCTTTTTAGAACTTCCTCCCTCATAAAAAGTTGAAACATGTGAAAAGAATACTTTATACTCCCTCTTTAGTTCCACATCCCTCAACAAAGCTGCTCTGTGAATACCCTAGTTTGTTAGAAAATATTAGAGAACAAACCTAATTATTTGGGGTTTTGGGGAGAATGTTGTGGAGAGGTTTAAAGCTGAGTTAGGCTCTAAAACAATATCGCAAGGTTTGAACATTTACTTTGAGGAAAGTACAACTGTTATTCTGCCAAATCCTAGGTTTGGAATAAGAGAATTTAACTCAGAGAAGAAATTTTCAGCTCAGTTGGTAGAATCTCTCCAAAGGACGATTATTAGACATCAAGTCAACAAATCTGACCTTTATGCAGTAATAGCAGGAAGAAAGCCTTAAAAGAATCCTGTTTGTAGTTTTCTGAGTCGCTTAGGAACATTGCAAATATGAATGTTTCTTTGCTTAGATAAGACCACAACTGAAGAGAAGAGATGCACTGATTGCAGTTTCTGGCTGATCGCCAATCTCTACCGATTTTTAGAAAGCTTGATCTGCTGAAAGTCGATGAGTTGACAACAGTGGGGCGTCTACTGTTAACTGCAAATGTGCAGACATGAACTAGTGGGCCGGTCTGTCAGTGAAACCTCTCTCACAGCTGAGTAGAAAAGAACAGTGGTTGACTTTTAGACCTTTGCTGAGGTAGATAAGATTGATGGATAAGATCAGCTTCACATGTAAGTATCGACTGATCACTGATCTTCCAAAATTAAGGAAATTGGTGCACCCCTACTGAATAGTGTGGTGTAAAGCAGGCACGGAGCTATAAGGGGAGCTAGGGCCCGGGCCCGGATGGGTGCCCGGGTCTGGAGGTGCCAGGGAGGGAGGAAAGGTTTCAAGTCACTTTAATGTCTGATTATAGACAGAGAAAGTGATCCCTTGCCTGTTCAGAAAGGTTTATGTAATGTTAAAGTTACTGTCCCTCAATGGAATATATAGTAGTCAGTCACAGTTACTGTTTCACTCACGGTTTAGCCAATGTGCTTCCTGGGTAAAAAGCAAACGTCAAACGCGGCCCAAACCACCAGTGGCATAATTGCACCATTTTGTTTGCAGGAGGCAACTGCCTCCCCTTCTCAAGACCAATTTGGGTCAAACTAAGTCACACAGAGCTGTGTGCGGGGTGTCTTGTGTCACCGTGGTCAAAAGATTGTAGCCGTTTTTTATGCAGAATTGTGCTCAGATAATAATGTCGCTATTTAACTTAAACCATTCCGTTTCCAGTAGCCGGTATTTATACTTGCAGGTGACATGAATACTTTTTGAGAACATTTATCAGACATGGTGAGGAATTAAGTACATTCGTACAACTCTTCATTAAATAACTACAAAGACTGTGAAATGGCTAAAAAATACCCTCCTGGATGGAAACTTCAATGTGTTTGTTCATGGAAGATGCTGTCTGCAGAACAATGCGCTGCTCTCTCTGGGACCATTTCATTAAACCAAAACAGACGATACAGCAAGGACATGGGGTCCCGTCAGAGGATCTGTGCTGCATAGGAAAGGAATGCAAATATATACGTTCTGCTAACATAAGACGATGGTTCAACTGTTCAGCTTTGGATAAAGCATGGGAGAGGCATAAGACTACACATCACCCTTCAGAGATGATGGGAAGATCAGAGCAGAATACAGGACAACCCTACAACTAAACCTGCCACAGCAAAAATGGAATGGATTAGATTTAGGCATATTGATGACATAGAATGACCCAAAGTTGTGATCAAATCCAATCTAAACTCTGTGGTGATATGCTTACAGAGGCTTTCCACTGAGTCTGACTTTATTTTGAATGTAGTATAATAAAAAATAAAACAAAGTTAAACACAAACAAAATAAATGCCAAAAAAAGCAAACAAAACAAAAGAAGAACAGTACTAAAGTATATGTCCACCTTCAAAGGAGTGGGTAGAAGTATGAACTCATTTTTACAACCACCCCTCTTACAGTGCATCACAAAAGTGAGTACACCCCTCACATTTCTGCAGATTTTTAATTATATCTTTTAATGGGACAACACTGACAAAATGACACTTTGACACAATGAAAAGTAGTCTGTGTGCAGCTTATATAACAGTGTAAATTTATTCTTCCCTCAAAATAACTCTATATGAAGCCATTAATGTTTAAACTGCCAGCAACAAAAGTGAGTACACCCCTGAAAGACTACACCCGTAACTATACCCAAATTGAGCATTGTCATTTTCCCCACAAAATGTCATGTGACTAGTTAGTGTTACTAGTCCTAAGGTGTGTGTAGGGGAGCAGGTGTGTTCAGTTTTGTAGTGTAGCTGTCACACTCTCTCATACTGGTCACTGAAAGTTCCAACATGGCACCTCATGGCAAACAACTTTCTGAGAATCTTAAAACACAAATTGTTGTGTTACATGAAGATGGCCAAGGTTACAGGAGGATTGCTAACACCCTGGAACTGAGCTGCAGCACAGTGGCCAAGATCATCCAGCATTTTTAGCTGGGTCCATTCAGAACAGACCTCATGTTGATTGACCAAAGAAGCTGAGTGCACGTACTCAGCGTCTGTAATGGAAAATTTTATAATGTGCTCCTCACCCCTCTTGTGCTTTAGATTGTGTCTGATGAGATCATTGTGTCTGCATGATTTTATCATGAGATTGGCTAAGCTGCTCTCCTATAGACTTCCACAGTGTGACGTAACAGCAGAGAATGTCTGTGATCCAGGAGACAATCGGGGTGATACTTCCTCAACCCAGAACTGAGACTGCATTTCATATATTAAGTAACAAACTCCTTTCCTTAATAATAGACAAATGGCCAGGCCATTGGGGTTGGGCTCCACAGAATTGTTGGTACATCACAATCAGAGATTCACACCTATTGTCCAATCAAGCCTCTCTTCTCTGACCAGAACCTATAAATAAAAGGAAGCCAGATCCACTGTTGGTCAGAGCAGACTTGACAGACTCCCTTGTATTTCTGTTCTCACCTTGCAAGGTTTTAATACATTTCTTATTTCTTCTCATCCAGACTCTTGTTAAAGCAATTTTTTTTTCCATGACAGCATCACATCCAAATGCTGTCTTTGAAAGACAGGCACAGGAATGGTGTCAGCATTGCGGCAGAGATTGAAGAGGTGGGAAGTCAGCCTGTCAGTGCTCAGACCACAAGTCGCACACTACATCAAATTAGTCTGCATGACTGTCACCCCAGAAGGAAGCCTCTTCTGAAGTCTGCACACAAGAAAGCCTGCAAACAGTTTGCTGAAGACATGTCAACAAAGGACATGGATTTCTGGAATCAGGTCCTGTGGTCTGATGAGACCAAGATTAATTTGTTTGGTTCAGATGTTCTCCAGCATGTGTGGCAGCAATCAGATGAGGAGTACAAAGAGTGTGATGCATACAGCCAAGCATGGTGGTGGGAATGCCATGATCTGGGGCTGCATGAGTGCAGCAGATGATGGGGATTTACATTTCATAAACTCCAATATGTATTGTGAAATACTGAAGCAGAGCATGATCCCCTCCCTCTGGAAACTGTGTCACAGAACAGTGTTCCAGCATAAAAATTACCCCAAACACACCTCTAAGATGACCACTACTTTACTGAAGAGGCTGAGGGTAAAGGTGATGGACTGGCCAAGTATGTCTCCAGACGTAAATTCAATAGAACATCTTTGGGGCATCCTCAAGTGGAAGGTGGGGGAGCGCCAAGTCTTGAATATCTGCCAGCTCTGTGATGTCATCATGAAGGAGTAGAAAAGCAATCCAGTGTTAATCTGTGAAGCTCTAGTGAACTCCATGTCCAGGAGAGTTCAGGTAGTTTTGGTAAATAAAGGTGGCCACGCAAAATATTGATATTTAAGCAACTTTCACTAAGTTCACTTTTGTTGCTGGTAGTTTAGACATTCTTGGCTTTATATAGAGTTATTTTGTGGGAAGAATACATTTTAAACTGTTATATAAGCTGCACACAGACTATTTTTCATTGTGTCAAAGTGTCATTTTGTCAGTGTTGTCCTATGAAAAGATATACTTAAATATCTGCAGAAATGTGAGGGATGTACTCACATTTGTGATACACTGTATGGAGCATCATCCAACAAGTTACTATTCATGTTAACTTGGTTTTAACAGTCTTAGTATTTCCTAGATCCATACCTATAACTAGTTCAGTGCATTCATAATCGCATTCCCGTTTAAGCAACCATCATTTTTAACATGTTAAATTATTTCTAAATGAATATACCATAATGCACTAATACTTGACAACTTCAATAAATAGTAACAATTACCTTGATAATAGCAGTAACAACAGAAAATATTTCTCTTGTTGATATGCAGTGAAGTCCATCTTCTGAAATTATGTTTTAACATTTTATGTTTGGACATTGCTTGATTTCCATGCTTAACTCATTCCACAGCTTCACCCCACATACTGATATACACAAGCTTTTTCTTACAGTTCTGAATTTAAAATTTTAGAATTTACATTTTCCCTTAAATTATAAAATTCTTCCTTTTTTAAGAAGAGCTTTTGAATGTTTCCCGGTAATGAATTATTTTTGGCTTAAAACAAGATAATAACAGTTTGTAATTTTACTTTGTCAGCAAATTTTAACAGTTCAGATTTTATGAATAATGCATTTGTATGATCAAAACCACCAGCCAGATTACTCTTATTGCTTGTTTGTGTGATGTTATTAAAGATTATAGTGAAATTCTGTAGTTGTTTCCCCATAACTCAGCAAAATAACACAAAGGTAAGACGAGGGAACAGTAAAGAATATGGTGCCTCATGCATAAAAGAATACACAGTTTTCACACAAAAACTTGGTGTACGGACAAATTTAGAAAAGTGCAACGCACAAAAAAATTCAGATGTAAAAAAGCCATGCGCACGCATATGGCTGTGCACCTTTCTTTAATAAATCAAATACATAAGTACACAAATACATATGCAAATTAGTATAAATACCCAGATGTCTGCCACCACGTGAAGCAATAACCATGGCAACATCCTTGTTTGTAGCAAAATAAGTATTTATAATAGTAATAATTATATATTTTATTTAAAAGGTGCTTTCAGGACACATAAGGTCATCTCAAAACAACAAATAATACATTTTAAAGAATAAATAAATAAATAAATAAATAAATAAATAAATAAATAAATAAATAAATAAATAAAAAAAAAAAAAAATGAAGAGATCATGAAAATGCCTGTTTGAACATCATGGCGTTCAGCTGGGATTTAAAGACAAACAGCGTGTCAGAGAGTCTTTGAGTGGGAATGTGGACATTTATTCTAAATAGTAGAATCATGTGCATAAGTTGTACATTGACAGAATAAAGATGCTTTATGTCCATAAGGCATATTCACAAAGCGGGCGGCTCGACTGAATGATGACTGCAGTTGCACCGGTACCGCACGGCTCCTTCTTTAGGTTTTGCTCGGAGCTCCAGGATGATCAGTCCAGGCAATCTAAACTCTAATGAACCGTCATCATTTTTCAGCAGATCAATATGGTCTCTGACTAAAAGCTCCCTCTGAATCTTTCCATTGGCGATGTTCTCCATCAGAGCCAAAGCTCCACATTTACGCGGCTCATCTTTGCGTAGCTACTTATATACTTGTGATTGTCTACACACCTTGATCACCTTAAAAATAAAAAAAACATGTTTGGAGTTAATCTGCTGATCTAACCCTGTTTTCTTTTTTAGTGAGAATGAAATTACCTCATAGTTGCATTTCATGCGCTTTGGAGCACAGACCAATGCGTTACATCTTTATGGGACAAAAACTTTGGAAAAGTACTATTTACATTCGAGTGAGGTTTTCACATCCTTTTATTTTTATTTTCTTTATTTTGTGTGCGTGTTATTGTCTGTGGATAAATGTGGTTCAGTTTCATCGTTTATGTTTAAACAATAAAATAGTAAAATCATGAAAACAAAAACATCAGGTTTGATGCTTCTTGGTCTTAATAACTTAATGAGTCAGATTTCAGTGGATTGTATCTTGATATTTTCCACAGAAAAAGCATGTATGGCTGCTGCACATTTTCACACCAGAAAAAAGTGTGCATATACTTTTGACGTAAAATAAATTTTTATACATGCTGACTTGTGCGTAAAATATGGCGCCGCACATTTTTTGTGCGTACGCATGCTTTATGCATGAGGCCCATGGAGAGCTGCTTCCTCCAGGACAAGTTTAGCTTTATTTAAAATAAACAGTCTTTTAGACATTTTACTTTATATATATTTAATTTGAGATCCACAAGTTCTGTTGAATCTGACACCAACTTGTGGTATTTTTTGACAAAGAACAGGCCAGAATTTCAATCAGTAGATGTGTGCAGTTGGTAGAGACATTCTAAGAAATGCGGTTCAATAAACTATTGACTCAAGGAGGCAAGCTGCTAATACAAGATTCCCCCCAGAAAAAGTATTTTTAAAAAAAAAAAAAAAAAAAAAATCGGTCTACAACATAAAGTATGAAAAAGTTAAACTATATGAATACCTGGACATTTATGGCATTGCCACAGTGCAATGCCATAAGGAACTGTTTTAACTTCCAGAAGGGTTTTCCTCCAGAAGTTAACTTCCAATCCTTTGTACCAATCCTCAAATGTTTTTTTTTTGCCCTCTTTTCCACTATATCAGGTTGTTTCAGTAGATTGTTTACGTTCCTTAGCACTGAGCCACCTGCAGCAGTGCCGTTGTGAACTAGGGACAAATGTGGGGTCCAGAGAGAGATTAATCTACATTAAATCAGACAAAATATCTTTAAGCTCAATGTGTTTAACAATAATTATGGTCAAATAGGCCCTATCAGGGAAGTTTTTAGGTGTAGATTTCTATTCACTTTGGTCTGATTAGGTCCTGTGGGAATACACAAAAAAACTGCCCCAGAAAACTACCACGGTTCCTAAAAGGCTTTCTGCAATGGAAACGTACCTGAAGACTCCAAACACTTAGCCTGGATGATCAGAATTCAGCAAAGGCTGACAGCTCATACATTTTGTGCTTTCCTTTTTACACTCATCAGCTGGAAATGAGGACTTTGTATTGTAATGCTGGGAACTGTTCAAAGGATCAGTCTGAAATTTGATATGCAAGGCTGCCAGCATTATTGTAAACTATTTTATTTTTGGAGGGGGTATTTCTGTAACTCAAATACCTGCACAATCACATCTACACTAATTTAATTTATTTATTCACTCGTTTCTAAGGCAAAATAAATACACTGAATTAAAATGCCTTTAAATAAGCCAAATGTATATATAACATTTATTTCTAGGTGATGAATCTCTGCCATTTTCAGAACTGGATAAATGTATGAATGTCAAATATATTTCAGTTTAGATTAAAAAGAACTCACCTGATGTCCAGCTTTAATCTGCTGCAGAACCTTGCTGTAGCATACCTCTTCCATGTCATGAATCTGTTGGATCTGTGCAGAACACAAAACAACAGTGACTGATCTGCTGTTGCTTTAAAAGGTTTCATCTTCATCATAAAAGTGAAGTTTAGGCACTGAGATGCTTCATTTGTACAGTTTTTAATCTTTACTGTGAATACCAATGATCAAACATCAAATAATAATGACCATGGAGATAATAATGCAGCTAACGTCTTGTATCATTACACCAGTATTCTTGGTTGTAAACATGCATCTATCAATACATGATGGCCAACAATTTACCTTGTTTGTGGTTTTGATCCCAACAAAGGTTTGTCCAAGAGGCACAGGTCTGAAGCGGCTGTCAAAGAAGAACAAGCCGATATAGGGGTTGACGTGCAGGAAGGCTGCCACATCCAGGTAGTTTGGCAGGGTGGCAGACAGTCCCAGGATCCTGATCATACTCTGGGTAGACTCCACCTGCCCATCAAACAGAGTTAAAGCTAGACCAGAGATCTCTACATTCATCCATGTGGACAGAACTAAATCAGCCCTGGAAAGTCTTGAAAGACAAAAAGAAAAAAAAAAAAACGGTGCTTGTGTATATTTGTAGAAACTGACAACAAATATGGATTCATAAGAATGCTAGAGGCATTATAGGCCTCTAAAATACTTTTATTCTGTGGTTCCTAATGTTTTTCACTGTGTTTTATGACTATGTGAACAATTAATCCCAAGAGTTTTGGCATATTCAGGTTTGAAGTTAACTTTTAATTTCATGCACACTGTGGTGGAAATTTTGCATGTTTGTCTGTGCAAAAAAAATTGCCACAGTAAATAATATGACACTTAAAGTTTTGTAACTTTAAGTGAATTGTGATTTTATCAAGAGGATGATATGCTCAGAGCATACAAATACAAAGTTGCAAAAGGAACTGGTTTGCGTTGACCAGAGAGAATTGATTTTTAATCCACAGTGTTTCACATTGATGTGTATTGAGGATTGTGCAATGATGTGACTTGACTTTGTGCGCATGTTTAGGACAACTGTTAGAAGGTTGGGTAACACTTTATTTGAAGGGGGGTGAATAAGACTG